AGTCACTCCAACTCCTCCTGTCTGTCCTCAAGAACGTCACAGCCAAGGGCAGTGCAGCCAAGAGCAGTCTCACCCCCGACGGACGGAGGACAGGCAGGGACAGGGTCAGAGACAAGACTCGCAAGGTAGTCTAGGCGGTACACAGCAGCAAAGTCAACGAGCTCAGCTACTAGGGCAGACGCAGCAGGAGACGAGAACGTAGGGTCCGTCACAACCGTAGCAAGAAGGCGAGTAACAGTCGGACTGGACGCACGAGTAAGGTCAGACGGAGGGTCAGCAACGTCAGGCAAAGAAGACGCAGGAGGTAACGGTAGGACAACACGCTGAGGAACAGAGGAAGGACGGAGTGTCATATCGTGAGTGCCGGGGACAGCCGGAGCACGCTGACGACGAACACGAGGAACACGAGCACGGACAGCAGCTCTAGGCTCAGGCTCAAGGTCAAAGCTAGACTCAGGCTCTCGACGCTCAGGGGTGGAAGCACGAGTCTCAGGCTCTCGACGCTCAGTCAGGGACTCTGACACCGCAGTGTAAGGAGCAGGAGCAGGCAGTGGGGAGTGTGGTAGCAGCGGCGGCTGTGACTGGTCCGCCGGTGGACACAGCAACGGAGGAGTAGTACCTGCCACAGGGAAGCCAGTAGCACCTGGCTGAAGACTGAGAAGGTGGCGAAGAGCACCAGTAGCTCCACCAGGACCTCCAGCACCTCCAGCACCTCCAGCCCCAGCAGCTTCGGCGCCTCCAGCACCAGCAGCTCTAGCAGCTCCACGACCTCCAGCACCAGCAGTACCTCCAGTACCTCCAGCACCAGCAGCTCCACGACCTCCAGCACCAGCAGCACCTCCAGTACCTCCAGCACCAGCAGCTCCACCAGGACCAGCAGCACCTGCAGCTCCCCGACCTCCAGCACCAGCAGCACCTCCAGTACCTCCAGCACCTCCAGGACCTCCAGCACCAGCAGCACCTCCAGGACCTCCAGCACCAGCAGTACCTCCAGTACCTCCAGCACCAGTAGCTCCAGGTCCTCCGGTAGGAGCTCCGACGACACCAACACCAGAAGGACTCGCAGCACCCCCAGAGTCAGCACTCGAACTCGAAGCACCCCCAGAGGCAGCACCCTCGGTCTCAGCACTCGCAGGCTCAGTACCCTCAGTCGCAGCACCCTCAGGCCCAGTACCCTCAGTCCCAGCACCCCCAGGCTCAGTACCCTCAGTCCCAGCACCCCCAGGCTCAGTACCCTCAGTCCCAGCACCCCCAGGCTCATTACCCTCAGTCTCTGCTCCAGTGTCCACAGCAGCAGGCTGCAGAGGCGGCGAAGACGGCCGTGGCGGGAAACCCGGGGGGGTCTCCAAGCGAGGAGTGCGGCGAGTGGTCGCCGTGTCGTCGGCGACGGCGTCACCCCCCTCAGGTGAGTCAGAGGAGTCAGAAGAGATCTCAACTGGCTCATCCAAGGGGGGTGGGACTACCTGGGACACACCTGAGGGAGCAGGACCCTGTGGGGGAAGGGGGTCTACCGGGGGGGGGACTGGTACCAGGAAGAGAGGTGCGAGAGGGACCGGGTGGGACGCGTGCGGGTGAAGTCGGTAGTAACAGACCGACTCGTCAAAGGTGACATCCTGAGAGGACAGAACACGACGCGAGGCAGGGTGGTAGAACTGCCAGGGTGGAGCGTCGGTGGGGAAGCCCAGGAAGACACAGCGGAGAGTGCGAGGGGAGAGCTTGCTCGCTTTGGTATCGTGAACAAGGGAGAGCGCGCCCCAGACCCGAAACGACGACGCATCACCAGGCTGTCCCGTCCAACGGAGTGTGGGCGAGGTCTCTGGAGCAGAGACACGGGGCCAGAGGTTGAGCTGATGCGCGGCGTATCGGACCGCAAACGGCCACAGGAAATGGGGAGCAGCCGCATGGATCATGGAGGTACGAGCAACCTCCATGATCAGGCCAATGCGACGCTCAGCGATCCCATTTTGCTGCGGAGAGGCCGGAAGCGTGAACGACTGGCGGATGCCCTCATCCTGGCAGAACGTCTCAAGGACGCCAGAGGAGAACTCACCACCCCTGTCAGAGTGCAGACGCAGGACTGGGAAGTCCTGCTGAAAGCGCTCGTGCAGCTGGAGACGAGTAGCACGGATCCAGCGGATCAAGACACCACTGACATCCGCCTTGCACCGCAAGGGGAAGACTGTGGTGTAGCGTGTGTAGTCGTCAACCACCAGCAGGAAGTAGCGCTCCTGGTCCGTTCCACCGACGGGGGCCGGGCCCCACACGTCCATGTGGAGAGTCTGCAGAGGAGCAGTGGTCGGAGGAAACTCGGAGGAGTGAGGAGCGGCACGCTGCCGCCCCTCGACGCAAGGAAGGCACGGCGGCGCAAGTGAGCGCGGGAGGGGGGGCACGGTCTCAGGGAGGCCAGTGACCAGGAGCCGGGAGTGCATGCGGCGCAGACGCTGCAGGGAGGGGTGACCAAGACGGTGGTGCCAGCGCTGAGTCTCGTGCGTGAGTACTCGGCACGAGCAAGACGCAGCTAACTGCCCTGACGCAGACGCTCGACTCGACGTAGCTACCTGACCTGACTCAGCCACCTGTGCAGACGCAGTGGTCAGTGTGTACAGACTAGACCCAGGCTGTCGAGTGAACGTAGCCAGGTGACGGCCAGTCCGGGAGCACGTACAGATCGCCACACGCTGCCCTCCAGGAATAAAGGTATCAACCCAGACATCCTGAATGGCAGCGTTGCTCACCAAGTTCGTCGAGAACGTGGGGAGGTGGAGACCTGACAAAGAGCCGGAGGGGACTGCTGGACAAGGGAGGACCGTGGAGGCTCTCGCAACCACTGGGCCCCCAGAGGGGTCAGCCAGTGAGACTGGGACAGGTGCTGTGAGTGGTGTGACTGTGGTGCAATCACGGAAGAAGCAACGTGACGCGCCGGAGTCAAGCGTGAACGTGTGCAAGACCTTAGCTGAGGCAGGACCTGTGGTAGTAGACGCACTAGCAACTAGAGCGTCGGTAGACTCACGGGCACCTAGAGCTGCAGCAGACTCACTAGCACCTGGAGTGGCAGCAGACTCACTAACACCTGGAGTGGCAGCAGACTGACTAACACCTGGAGTGGCAGCAGACTCACTAACACCAAGAGCAGCGGTCTTAACATAACGATAACCTCCACCACCAGGACGACCTCGCTGAATAACCCACTCACGAAGCTGCTGAGGGGTGGGGTCGTCCGGGAGAAGCAGTGCCCGCTGCTGTCCACCCCTGGCCGCAGCGACTGCCGCGGAAGTGGCCATGACAGACAGTGACTGTCAGGAGTAGGTCCAGCACCTCCAGCTCCTACAGCGCCAGCAGCACCTCCTACACTCCCAGCAGCACCTCCTCCACTCCCAGTAGCACAAGTAGCAGCAGCAGCAGTAGCAACAGCAGCAGGGCGGTTCGGTGGGGGTGGGAGGCCGCACCTCCACCACTCCCAGCAGTACTCCCTCCAGTAGCAGCAGTAGCAGGGCGGCTCGGGCAGCAGCAGCAGACCGAGCAGCAGCAGCAGCAGCAGTAGCACTAGCTGTAGCAAGTGCAGTAGTAGGAGCTGCAGCAGTAGCACTAGCTGTAGCAAGTGAAGTAGTAGGAGCTGCAGCAGTAGTACTAGCTGTACCAAGTGAAGTAGTAGGAGCTGCAGCAGTAGCTTCAGTCAGGAGCAGCTGCAGTAAGTGCTGGAGTAGGAGCTGCAGCAGTAGCACTAGCTGTAGCAGAAGTAGCTTCAGTCAGTACCAGCTGTACCAAGTGCAGTAGTAGGAGCTGCAGCAGTAGCACTAGCTGTAGCTGGAGTAGCTTCAGTCAATAGTAGCTGTAGCAAGTGCTGGAGTAGGAGCTGCAGCAGTAGCACTAGCTGTAGCAGCCGTAGCTTCAGTCAGTAGCAGCTGTAGCAAGTGCCGTAGTAGCAGCAGCAGCAGTAGCACTAGCTGTAGCAGCACTAGCTTCAGTAGCAGCAGCAGTGAGTAGCGCTAGCTGTAACAGGAGTAGCGTCAGTAGCAGCAGCAGTGAGTAGCGCTAGCTGTAGCAGCAGTAGCTTCAGTAGCAGCAGCAGTGAGTAGCACTAGCTGTAGCAGCACTAGCTTCAGTAGCAGCAGCAGTGAGTAGCACTAGCTGTAGCAGCACTAGCTTCAGTAGCAGCAGCAGTGAGTAGCACTAGCTGTAGCAGCAGTAGCGTCAGTAGCAGCAGCAGTGACAGCTCGGGCTGGGCAGCGCGTAGTAGCAGTAGGCGCGCGTGGGCTGTGGGCGTGCCAACCAGGGGCGCGCAACAGGTGCGTGCGGGGCGGCACTACGAGGAGCGCGCATCAGGTGCGTGCTAGGGGCTGGCGGGCAGCGTGAGTGGCGCGCGCAGCAGCAGGAACGAGGGGGGGACCGGGCGTAGGGGCTGACGGGCCGCGCGAGAGGCGCACGGGGCAGCTAGGGCTCGGTCAGGGGGGTCGCACGTGACTAGGAACAGAAAATCGCGTCTAGGCAGAAAAGGGAACCGTCTCACCTAGGGCACGTTTTCGCATTTCGCGTTTCTCCTAGGGGCGCGACTCGGGCAGCAGGTCGAAATAGTAGTGGTGGGCCCTTTTAAAATTTCGGTCCTAAGGAGCATTGTGCTCTTAATACCATGTTAGAGTTACTAGCTAGATGAGTGAGTTCGATTAGGTAAGGGGGGGGTACAAGGACTATCGAGAGAGATTGTTGTACCCTCTAAGGAAAGAACCCTACACAACCTAGAGTGAAATAAGCAGAACAATATGTTTTGACAACAAGCGCAAACGAAGACACCAGTGCTAGAAGCCTCTTGCCAGCCCAAGTGCCCTCCAATCAAGATTACTAATCTTGTGCAACTTGGGCTGCGGGCTTTAACTGTGAAACCATCCACGACATGTAAAAGTGGCTCGTTCTATAGGATCAGTTGCGATGTTAAAGCCTTGCTTCCAACATTCTGGGGTAAAATGTGAAACCATACTAGATACTAGCATCAAAGAAAGACATCCTTACAATTCCCTATCCTTCCACACAAGCTTGGAAGCGACGAGGTCTTCTAGGGCCAGTCCTACAGACTTAAACACAGTAATATCCTCATTAGCTCTCCTCCCGTGCACACGCCCAGAACATAACTCAAAGAGGTCTCCTCCAATGTCCTTCTCCAGAATAGCACCACTAGAGATAGGCTCGATAAGGTCCCCAGATCCTGTGATAGCATCACCACTCTTGGAATCCACAAATATTGACCCTCTGGCTGCAACCATGACATCATCATCCGCTTCGCGCATATCTGGACGAAAACCGCCAACCAAATCCACATGCACCCCAGGCTTTAACCACCGTCCACACACAAGTGGCTCTGTTGCAAGTGTGGCACAGGAAACAATATCCGCCAAGCACACCGCATGCTCTAGATCGCTCACAACCCAAACACACACACCTCCTGTTTCTTGCTCTTCCAGTAAGTCCGACAAGGAATTCTTCTCTGACTCGATGAGACGAAACCTTGGGTCGGAGGATACCAGAGTCTCGGCTGTCTGCTGGGCCTTGGTGACAGTGCGGCCCCAGAGAAGCACGGAGCGGACGGAGGGGGTGGCTGAGAGGTGGGCGAGGATGAGGTGGGGAGCGAGGTTGCCCGTTCCCACCATGAGAAGCACCTGGGAGTCACGGCTGCAGGGTGGGGAGCAAGCAATGGGTGGTGACTAAGGGAGACGGAAAATGCACACACAAAAACCCCTGCAGATGGAACTAGAGATGGGGGGAATGGGGAGAGGGGGGGTTGGGGGTGGAAAAAGCGAGGGGAGTGGGGGTTGGGGGTTGAAAAAGCGAGGGGAGTGGGGGTTGGGGAAGGGGGAAAGAATGGGAGGTGGATGGCGGAAGCAGTGATGTTTCATTTACCGTGCGAGGTAGTGAGCAGCGAGGGCAGAGGCGGCGGCTGTGCGGCGAAGCGTGATGGCCGTGCCGTCCATGAGGGCAAGGGGGGCGCCAGTGGCAGCAGAGGAGAGCAGGTAGCTCGCTGCCACAGAAGGCAGGCCGGGCCTGGCGTTGCTGGGGAACACAGTCGCCAGCTTCACACCCAGGAAGGGCTCTGTGAGGTGGTGGGGTAGACATCGGTGCCGATCGGTGGGTGTGAGTTGCATGATCAAAGAATTGTTTCAAGATGTCTCAACAACAGACCTGACTCTGCCATGCAGCAGCACTGCAAAGGAACGCCTCTGGTGATCCCAGCAGGGCCTGCACAGCTGTGATCCAGCATTCGCCTGGCCCTCACATTTGCTGTGGTTTCACAATTTCCCCGCAGCATACGCAGCCATGCAGCACACCTGGACCCCATCCACCCCATCCATCCCATCCACTCCACCTGCGCATGTCCCCCCCCCCCCCCCCCCTCAATTGGAGTAAGCCCCTCACCTTCCGTGCCGCAATTCGAGTCCCAAGCCGGCATCACCAGCAGCGTCCCCCCTGCCTGCTTCTTCCCCTCTGCTGTGATCCTTCTTCCACTTCCTCTCTCTCCTCCTCCTTCTCCTCCTCTTTCCCCCCTCACTTCCGGGTCGCCGCCTGCTGCCCCAGACCTAGCATCCGTCTCGTTATTAGCATCTCCATCCTCATCCGTAGCGCGCTGCCCAATGCTGTAGTGCTGACGTGGTGGGGCGGCGATGCCAGCTCCGCCACTGGATGCGCGGAAGGCCTCGCGGAGATGGTCAATGAGTGCTGGGGGCGTGGGGGGAGGGGGAGGGGAGGGCATAGGCGGGGCAGGATCAGATAGGGCGGAAGGCCTCGGGGATATGCTCAAGGAGCCCGAGGGGAGGGGAAAATGGGCACAGGCGGGGCAGGAGGGGAGGAAGGGGAAGGCCTCGGGGAGATGCTCACCCGGCCTCAAATCTAACCCTCACTGACTCACGGCTGTCACACCCTATCTCCCATCGCTCATCAATCCTCCCGCCCGTCGCTCCGCCCGACCGTCGCTCACCGTCGTACGGCAGCGCGCGGTGGACCTGCTCCGCAGTGAACACCCTCATGGCCGCCCTTGCGGTCGCCGCCGATCGCGCTCGCGCAAAGCGCGCAGCGCAGCGTCTCTGACCACCGAGTCTCACGTCCACGTCACGGCCGACGGTTATGCGGTTCGCCCCGTGCGATGGATATCGCAGCGCCTCCTGCATTGTATGCGCGCAGGAGCTGTGCTATGCGCAGAAACGCCAAAAATGTGGGCAGTTTTGTGGCATTTGGAACCCGCTTGAGTGTGCTCTAGTAATCTGTACGTGACCAGGATTTCTTTGATGATGTGCAATTGTACTTTCGCGAAATCGATGGGGTCATACTTTCAACGGGGTTGAAGATGGGTACAGTGCGGTAGTGATTGAATACTGAAGCTTCGATCCACCATCTACCCGTAACAACACTGGCTTCTCTTGAATTTTGTGGGAACAATAAAGGGTAAGTAGCTTTGGCGGGGGTACTACTAGCGACCCTGCGCTTTCCAGGGAACTACAGTGCTAGTTGCGGGCACTTTCCGCCCCTCTGACCCTCAGACAGGAATGGCAACAGCACAGAACTCGGTCCCACATTCACCCACGTGTCACAAAAACTGGCGGAACATCCACCACCAATCTTTTCTTTGTGTGCTTGACGGACATCGAACCTCAGGATCAAACCAGGAAACGTCAGCACGATGGCTCCTGATGTCCAGCTAAGGCCGCCATGGATCTTGACGAGCGCTTCACAGCTGACAATGTCTAGGCTAGCCATCCCTATTCTCGACACAGACTACACCATTAGATGCGGCTTGAGTTCCTCTATAAGCAGACATTTAAATTGTACCCATCATGCGGGTATCTTGCATGCTTATCGAGTTCCAGGCTACCAGTCTGAGTCGACCCTGGGATCTGTCAGCTCACTGCTAGTTAGCTCGCCACGTCTTCCAAAGGGGTCTCCTAGCTGCTTTCTACTGGTTTTTGCATCGCGCGGTTCCTGCTGTCAGGATTCCATTGGGTTCACAACATTGCGTCCATGCAGTCTTAGCCTAACGGAATCTGCCATCAGGGATTGTCCTAGTCACACGCAGGTGATAAGGTACCCTTGGAGTCTCCAAAGGCAACAGTTGCCCTTGGGAGTGGAAATCACGGAAGAAGCTTGGAGCATATATTACGGGAGAAGAAATAAGACTTCTCACAGCCAGACAAAGCCTAACATCAGCTCAGCTGTTCAGTATGCCTCCTAAGCCGCGGACTACGAAGTCTTCAGCCACCATGGTGCCTCTTGAGGATCCGAAGGTTCAACCGCTGGAGCAGAATGGCAACGTGGAGCCTGGATCTGCTACTGTCCCGGTTGAGGAGGGTCAGGGTGCTCCCGCTCCTTCGCCGGCTCCGTCTGAGTCCGTCCCAGCGCCGGTCGCGCCAACAGCTCCCGCGCCTGCGATGCGTGTTCCTGAGGAAGGGGATGATGAAGATGAGGAGGAGGACGACGGATACTTACGCGACGATCCAGATGAAGGCATTGATGTTCAAACAAAGGGTGCGCTTGCGTCCAAGACTCGCATCACACTGACGCTGCTGATACCGTTTGCGCTGGCGAGTGAGATGCCTGCGGTGAAGCCATCGGTGAAGGCGCTGCTGGTGTTTCTGCGGAGGAAGCTGTCAGACAACGTGCTGGACGGGGTGGCTTTTCAGGAGCTCCTTCCGACGCACCTGTCTGGGACCCACTTCAGTCGGCTTCAGGTCACGCTTCCCACGGCCGACGACGCTGAGGTAGTCCGCCAGCACCGCGTGGAGCATGTTGTTGGGACCGCCAAGCACCATTTCGGCTGGCAGCACCCAGTCAACCGCTCGTTCCTGAAGGCGAAGAGTGACCTGCCGGAAGGGGTGGAAGTTCTACTTAAGGGGGTTCCTGCGGAGATTACGCCTCTCATTGTTTACGAGTCGTTGGTGGTCGCGAAGCTGCAGAAGCGCGGCCGTTCGGCGTTTCTGCAAGGAGCAGGTTTTCATCGCGTGGTCGACCCGGTCTCTGGCCTGGACACGGACAAAATCCGTGGTCTGGTGCTTCCGCATCCCGGCGACAAATACCGTTGGCGTCATCTGGTGGAGGATCCGCTCACTGACGCGTCATTCCTGGTGCACTTTCCATCGCTATCCTGCTGCTACTGCCAGGGTCAGCATATGGATAAGTTGCACAATGAATACGTGCGTGAGCGTCGCAACAGCATCGCCAAGTGGAACTTGTCGCTAGGCAGGGTCCATGGTATCAACGGTAATGGGCGGGGATTCTTACCAGGGGTTTCCAGCTGCTCACTCTTGCTGTTCCTGCTCACTAATGACGGTGTGATGGGCCCATCGTGCAGCGGCCTCCCTCCAGTTGGTAGGGGTAGTGAAGAAGATTCTCCGGGACCCGGCTCTGGTCCTGATCTCAACGGGACCCAACTCGGAGGAGTGGTTGTGTGTCCAGGAGTGCTGCGAACGCGCTCACGGGGAGACCTTCGCGCAGGCTGCAGCTCACATCGGCTCCTTTGGTCATGGTGCGGCGCTGGGTGCAGCTGGCGTTGCGACTCGTGCAAGCAAGGCGAAGCAGAGTCTGCAGGCCACGAAGAAGTTGTACGGGATTCGGGCGGAGGCAGCAAAAGCGAAGTGATTCTGATGCATGGAGTTAGGCGGCATGTATGTGTAGCATGGAGTAGCGGAATAGGAGATGGAGTTGTGTCTGTACCTGTCCGGAGTATATTCGCAGAGCAAAGCACTTACAACATCACCATCAACACCGGCCCGTGGATGCTAAGGGGCCTTTCACAGGTTACGAATGGGTAAATACACCACACTCACCTTCAGTGTCCTGAACGTCAACGGTCTGGGCTGTCTGCAGAAGCACCATGACGTTCGGGACTGGATATCGCAGGCAGCCCACATAGCCATTCTGGCTGACACGCGGATCCCGGCGGATCATAACTTTTGGAATCAACTGACAGCAGGCACGGTGGTAGCAGCTACACCAACGGCGAGGGCTGGAGGAGTGGCAATAGTCATACGCAACAGCGAGGTGTCCTGCACGGACATGGTCTGCGACGCGTCTGGGCGATTGGCGCGTGCAACTCTGTCGTGGAGAGGTGTTGACGGTGGTCGCAGCGTACTTCCCGTCGAGCCCAACGGCACGAGCCCCCTTCTTCCGGGACGTACTCCGGCCGTTCATTGCGGCGATACCTGCGGGAACTCAACTCATGCTGGCTGGGGACCTGAACGTAGTGGAGGACCCTGCGCTGGACAAGACGTCGGGAACGGGCTCAAGGGGGGAGAACGACAGACTGATGACGATTTGCAGCAGCTTTGATGTTAGGGATGCCTTCAGAGCCCTTCATCCATGCCTGCGGGAGTACACATTTTATGCAGCAGCGGTGCAGGAGAGCACGAGAATCGACCGGATTCTGCTCTCGCAGTCGCTGCTTCACCAAGTCCAGGAGGTACGGCACGCGGAGCTGGTCAAAAGGTTCACGGACCCCCGGAGCTCAGCGCGGGGGGAGACGGGGAGTCAGGCCCGGGCCTCTGGAAACTGCCGGCGTCGCAAGCGCCACGTCCTGGGGTACGGAGGCGGGTGGAGCAGATTGTGCGTAAGAACAAGGAGAGAGGAGGGGACTTGGAGTCCCTAACGGCGTCTTTAAGAGTGGGTCTCAAGGCCTACACTGTTGAGGAGCGGAAGCGGGTGGCAGCCACGACGGCGCATCTGGTACGGGAAGTCGGGGACTTGAGACAGAGGGTGGTGAGTAAACCTTGGTGCTCGCGGGCGAAGGCGCGGCTTGCGAAGGGAGAAGCCAGGCTTAAGGCGTATGAGGACGGGAGACGCCAGAAACTGCAGGAGCAAGCGGGGGTCAAGGTTGAAATGAACGGGGAGGCTCCCACGGGTTTCATGACGGCTAAGATCAAGGCGCGGAAGGCGCGGACGCGCCTGGTGGAGGTGAACTACAATGGGACTCGGCATGAGGGTGCAAAGGAAGCGCTCACGGCTGCGTCAAGCTTCTACGCGGAGTTGTTCGCGGCCAGAGAGGCTAACTCACAACTGGACTGGGAGCTGGATAGGCGCCTTCCCCCCGAGGATGCAGAGGAGTTGTGCGCGCCGTGGGAGGAAGCGGAGTTAAAGCGTGCGCTGACGGAGATGGCGCGGGGCAAGACGCCAGGGCGCGACGGCCTCCCGAAGGAGCTCTGGGAGCTGCAGTGGGACCTGCTGGGCAGGCAGGTGATGCAGTTCCTGAAGGAGTTTGAGCGGACGGGTGTGTTGCCCAAGGAATTCTCAACGTTGGTGACGGTGCTGCTGCATAAGAAAGGGGCTAAGGATGACTTGCAGAACTACCGCCCGATCACACTGCTCAGTACGGCGTACAAGGTCATCGCGAAAATACTGGCGAACAGGATAAAACGCAAACTGGAGAAAGTGGTGTCAGAGGGGCAGTTCGGGTTCCTACCTGGCAGAAGTCTGGCGGGCGCGGTGGCGATCGCGGCTGATGTGATAGACGCGGCGAACTCCGGCCATGAGGACTGGCTCATGCTTCTCGTCGATTTCAGGAAGGCTTTTGACTCAGTGGGACGGGACTACCTGTTTGACGTGCTGCGGAAAATGGGCCTCCCGGATGCTTATGTGAGATGGGTGGAAGGGCTGCACCACGAGGCGGCCACCCTCATCTGCAACGATGGCTGGCTTGGAGAGGAGGTGCCGGTGCAGACTGGGGTGAGACAAGGCTGTCCCCTCGCGCCGTACCTATTCCTCTGTGCAGTAGAACCCTTCTGCCAGGAAGCACGAAGGAGATGGTTAGGGATTGACGTCAAAGGCGCGGGAAAGCTCGCGTATTTGGGTTACGCGGATGATACCACCCTTCTTTTGAAAGATCGGTCGCAGCTGGACGAGGCGGAGAAGCTGCTGAAGGATTTCGAGCGTCAGTCCGGGCTGGCGGTGAACTGGGACAAATCCGTGGTACTGCCGCTTGGGAAACAGCGTGATCTGCCGCCGCCGACGGTTGGGTCGTTCAAGTGGGCGTCGCGGGATGACCATGAGCGCCTGCTGGGGGTTTGGATCACGCCGGGTGGGGATGCAAGGCCGTCATGGAAGAAGGCACTGAGCAGAATAGAGGCGGAGCTGAAAAAGTGGGAGGCGAAATACCTCACCACGACGGCACGAGTGACAGTGGTCAACTCCTATGTCATGCCCATAGCGATGTTTCAGGCGCAAGTATACCCCCCCCCGGACGCGGCCTGGGAGGAGCTGAGGAGGCTGTGCCATGCGTTCGTCTCCGGAGGAAGAGCGAGCGGGGAGCCAGGTTTCATCCTCTGGAGTGGGGATCTGATGCAGTTGAAGAGGGGTGATAAACCTCAAAGATCGGCTAGACGCGGAGGCGCTCCACTCACTGGCGCTCCTGCTCACGGAAGAAGTGCCGCAGAGGCGGGTGCTAGCGGAGAACGCGGCGAACCTCCCGCTGGGATATGCGTCTTTCATCGCGCATGAGTCCCTGTTGAAGGCGTGGGGCACGGGGAGCGAGCGCTGGAAGGCGATTGCTGCTGCGGTGATGGCCTCGCCGGTCGCCAAAAACCTACCAACCGAGAACAGATGGGACACGGAGAAGGAGAGGGTGCCTTTTAACACACACATCAAGCGGGACGGTAGCTGCCCCTTTGGAAGGCGGAAGGGCTCGGAAAGCCTGCACGCAATCATGGTGGGAGACTTGCTGATGAAGTGGGTGGACGGCACCAGGAGTTGGAAAAGTCCGGAACGTTTGGCGCGAGACCTGGGCAGCAAACAGGCGGCACACATTGCAGCGGAAATCATCGAGGCAATCCCAGGGGAATGGAAGGAGCGGCTTCTGAAACCCTTAACTGCCGAAGAGCTGTTCCAGGCGACCAGAGTCGTGCGCACGACGGGGAGGGGGGTGCAAATGTGGTGGATCCTTCGGACGAGCGGTAATCTGCTGCACGGCGTGAGGATGCAGCAGAAAGGTGACGGCAAGGCGTGGTGGGTGCCGGAAGGAGCACGACCTAAGGCTTTCACCGTGTCAGAGGTTACGCCTATGGCGCTGTTGGGCGACGAGGTAGTTGGTGAGCTGGGCGACCCGCGCGTCAGGCTTCTCAAGTCGGAGCTTTGCGTGGGAAGGCTTGCTGGTCCTCTGAGACAGCTGAGAGTGGGGCTAGAGGCGGGGCACGAGCAGCCGTGCAAGCCTCTTCGCAGAGAGGAATGGGAGAAGCTGTGGGGGAGGAAGATCGATTGGAAGCGGACTATTGCGCGCAGGGACTCCCACGCAGTGCCCGCAAAAGCACGGGATGTCTTGCTGCGCGCGCACTGTTTCAACCTTCAGGTGGGGGACCGCTTGAAGTTCTTGGGGGACAGGGCGAAATGCCCGCACTGCGGGGAAGCGGAATCAGCTGACCATGCATTGTTCTCCTGCCGAGCCGTTCAACCTGTGGTGGGGGCCCTCAAAGAGGCGATTCGCTGGTTCAATCCAACGAGGAGGGTGAGGACACTTGGCGATTTGCTATTTCAGCGTGGGGGCACGGCATCCGGTTTTCCGGAGCTGACAGTATCGGCAATTACGTTTCACCAGATCTGGGTGGAGCGCTGCAATGCGGTTTTTCGGGGGCGGAAGTTCCAGTGCCGGAAGGTGATGAGGAGAGTTGTGACAGCTTTCTGTCTTCACGCGCGGACGTACGAGGGCATCAAGCGGAAAAAGGCGTGGGCAAAAAAGAGAAACGTGGCCAAGCGTCACCTGGCCAAGGATGAGGTCGCTGTGCTGGAAAATGCCAGCACCCGGGCGGTTAACAAGCTTACGTGGCGTGAAGAATTCCTGTCCATCTGGACGGATCGGAGGGCCAGATTTAAACCGCTGTAGAGACCCACGAGGGGCGGCTCTCTCACTGTGTGTAATTGTCCCCCTCTCGCAACAGTTACGACTGTGGCCACTTTTGCTGTATCCTTGATATAGTGAAAAGCCTTCTAAAAAAAAAAAAAACCCACGTGTCACAAATTCGAGAAAATTAGAGAACGCAGGGCAGAAAAAATAAAACCCATAGGGAACCTGGACTCATTTTCGGGAGGGGTCAACCCTAAACACGGGAACCCGCATTTGTTTTAGGGTTGATGCCTCCCCGAGACGCATCCCTTTCCGATTGGGTTTTAGTTTTTTTCGGTCAGGTTTTTCCAGTGGCTTGCGAATTTGTGACACGTGGGTGTATGTGGAGCCGAGTTCTGTGCTGTTGCAATAACCTTCCTGTCGGAGGGACGGAGGGGCGGAAAGTGCCCGCAACTAGCGCTGTAGTTCCCTGGAAAGAGCAGGGTCGCTAGTAGTACCCCCGCCAAAGCTACTTACCCAACAATAAAACAGATCGCGGTTCTCGCGATCGAAGGCATGCCACGTGGCGATAATAAAACAAACCGCATTTCGCGGAATTGAGCAAAACTCTCCTCAAAATTCGTTCTCAGCAATTGAAGTGGATTCATTCTCAGACACACACCATGCGCGTCGCGTCTCGGCATAGTTGATTCCTCGAAGAACAGAGTCTGTCCCGTTCCAGCTTACACCTCTCATGACTGTCGTCAAGAAATCCGCATTATACCCCCGTTGAAGCGACAGTGGCGAAGTGTAACCTGACTTAGGCCGTCGCCTAGCGTCGCACACATCATCGCCGTTGGTTCTTCCATCGTCCATCGCCGTCGTCTCTGGAGTCGGAGAATGGCTGCAGCAGGTGAACATTTCGTTCAGCTGTCCTACTCGTCCCTTACTTATAGCTGCAGCTGCACGCTTCCGTCAGCTGCCCTTCTCGTTCCTTACCTATAGCTGCAGCTGCACGGTTCTTTCAGCTGTGCCTAATACCCGAGATCACCACGATCTCTAATCGCCAGAACAAACCATCATTTATAGTTATCTCTTCCCTTACGCTTTCCCTTCTCGTTCCCTCATTTTCGTGTTTCCCGCGCAGAGCAGAGGTGGCGGAAGTCAGCGTGGGGGCTCTACCGGACGATGGGGAGGACCGGCGGGAGATAGGGCACCTGGCGGTGTGGAGTGTCAGCTCCGCCAAACCCGGCAATGGCGTCGAGCTTCTGCGGGACGGCAAGGCGGACACGTTCTGGCAGTTAAGAATTGGAAGATTCGTGTGAAACTGATGCTTACAGTCAACTGAATCGAATTTCCAGCGTGGACCGTGCAAACCTTTTTTTTTCTTTTTTTTTTTCCTCCTGATACGTATTGCTGCTAAGTGCCAACTCTTTTTTTTCCTATCCCGTGTGTGTGCAGGTCCGATGGATCACAACCACACTTGGTGAACATCCAGTTTCAAAAGAAGGTTCGGTTGCAGGTAAGTGACCGGTTTTTGCAGTAACATGGTTACCATTCCACCTTTCAGCACTGCATGGAGCCCATTCTTGGTGAGTTCCTTTATGGCTGCAGCACCGTTCTGCGTCTCATTGCTTTCTCTGCTTCCGTCACCACATGACGAGAGGTTTGCTCGGTGTTTCAACCCCTCCCTTTCCACCCCGACCCACCAAACCTCCACCCCTATTCGCACAAGCACGTGTCACTGCACGTGGATTTCAAGTTAAACGTGAGCTACACGCCCAACAAGGTGTCCATTCGAGCGGGGTGAGAACTACGCCCTGTGCTTCACCCCCATCCCCCCCACTCCCTCCCCCCAACCCACCCACCCCCCCCCCCCCCCAGCACGTGTCACTGCACGTGGGATCCAAGCTAAACGAGAGCTGTGTGCTGTGCCCTCTGCTTTCCTCCCCTTCACCACCCCACCCCAACCCTCCCCCCAATCCCCCCCCCCCCCCAGCACGTGTCACTGCACGTGGATTTCAAGTTAGACGAGAGTTACACGCCCAACAAGGTGTCCATTCGAGCCGGCAACTCCTTCCACGACGTCAAGGTGGGCGGGGGGCATGGCAGGCATCGCTGCTTACATGTTGTCATGCTCACATGTGCTCCGAGCAGCAATGGCACGTATGGTAATGCTCATGGCAGGCAATGCTCATGGCAGGCAGTGCTGCTGCTTGTGCATGTAAATTCTCATGGCGGTGCATGGCAATGCTCATGGCGGTGTATGGCAATGCATCGTGAAGGAACCTAATGTTCACATATGATGCTTCCAGTATGGAACTTATGGTTCACATGTGATGCGTGCATTGGTGGAGATGAACGAGCCTTCTGGGTGGGTGCACATACCGCTGCGACCCAGCGATGACAAGTGAGTCACGATGAGCGAACTGGGAGTGACAGAGTGATGACATGTGAGTGTTAAGGCGCCTGAAAGGATGAACGAGCCTTCTGGGTGGGTGCACATACCGCTGCGACCGAGTGATGACAAGTGAGTCACAATGGGGGAATGGCTGGGCTGGTTGCATATCCCGCTGCGATTGACTCATGAACTGGCTGCAACGTAGTGACTCTGGAGGGATGGCAACGGCAAGTGACTGACTGATGGCAACGGCAAGTGCTGCATGCCTGTCCCTGGCCCTTTCAAGCCACGGCCACCAAGCCTAACTTCTCATTTCCTGCCCCGTGCCCGTCATGCATGCATCTGTGCCCATGTGTGCCATCCCAGGGAGTACCTGCGAGCCTTCTACCTGCAGCTGGCAGTGATCTCCAACCACCAGAACGGCCGTGACACGCACATCAGACAGATCAACATCTACGGCCCCCGCCAGTGAGTCACTCGCTGCCCCCTGCCTATGTGACATGATAGCCATGACACAGTGAGATGATTCCCCCATGATGACCCATGAGCCATTGCCCACACGATGTTTCTCCTGTAGTTTGTTTTATTCGCACCTCCGGTTGCAAATGCCATCAAGCCATCTGTGGATATGCTCATGCCGGCATGCCTCCTATGTTGCTTCCACATGACTGGTCTCAGCTGCCATGTCACAAGGCTCTTCACACCTCCCACACCACACGCTTCTCTGTTCATTGCAGGAATGTGGTGAGAGCAGTAGGGGTACCCATGGAGTTCAATACAGTGGAATTTGGCATGTATGCTGCTGTTAGGTAGTAGTGCTGCAGTCATGGTAAAAAAACCCAGGATAATGCCACGGCTGTGTATGTACCGTACCATGCCATACTGAGACGACCAGCAGGCTGGTATCATATTTGTTTTTTTGCAATTTGGCTTCCAGATGGTGGCTGCTCCACCTTGAAATGAACCAGCCCAGCACGATATCAGCTATGGCCATAGCTTTGAGAATTCTGACGGAAATTACCGGTACCCGTCGCAACGCTTGCGAGGGAATGACACAGTAGCTGCTCTTTCAAGTTGACATACGGACAAGTTTGTTTGAATATCCCAGAAAAGGTGCACAGAGAAGAATGGTGCGTGTTGCAACCACACCACACTTGCTACAGTGGCTGAAATACCCAGGACCACAGCAGCAAATCCCAACTTCGTGTGTTGTTATTTCAGGCTCAGTCATCTCACCTACTAGTACCTGTTCAAGGACAGCAAGTCTAATGCAAGAAATTTCACTTCTTTGATCTTTAGACCAATCAAGCAAGGGGTACAATAACCACTAATAGCCTCGTCCTAGCAACGGCCTTGTCATACTCTTGCTACCTTTCCAGCCCCGAAGGTCCACACTCCACACCACAGCCCAGCTCCTCCCAAGGTAACCAGTGCCGTATGTACGGTAATTCACCCCGTTTTCATCCCATATCACCCTACCCATCTCACCCGGTTTTCTTCATCTCATCTCACCCTGCGACTACCCTGTTTCACCCCTCCACGCTTCACCCTTCAAGCCCCATCTGGTCACGGAGCAGCACTGGCAAACCACGCCCCGTCGTCATCCCATCTTCGCACCTCTTTATAAGCCAGCAACTGTAACAATCCCCTCCACCTCCACCTCAACCTCCACCTCCACCTCCACCGCACTACCGCGCAGCATTGGCAAACCACAGACGGCTGCCTCTTCCCATTCCCTCTTGAGTCGACTCTAAAACCCCTTCAACCTCCACCTCATATCTTGAGTCGACTCTAAAACCCCTTCAACCTCCACCTCATATCTTGAGTCGACTCTAAAACCCCTTCAACCTCCACCTCATATCTTGAGTCGACTCTAAAACCCCTTCAACCTCCACCTCATATCTTGAGTCGACTCTAAAGCCCCTTCAACCGCCACAGCATTACCGTGCAGCATTGGCAAACCACAAACGACTGCCCCGCCCCGCCCCTTCCACCCCCGGCCCCACAACCTCGCGCCTCAACACACCCTCCTCACTGCCTCCCGCACCCCCACTGCCACCCGCAGCAGCAGCGGCGGCGGCGGCGGCGGCGGCGGCAGCAGAAGAAGCAGGGTTAGAACTCGCACCAGCAGGGATGGAAGCATCAGGTGGGGGTGAGCGGGGAGCAAGGGGGCGAGGGGCGGCGGGGGTGAGGGCGAGTGGGAGGGAGGCGGCGGGGGACGGGATGGAGGAGGAGGGATGCTGCAGAGGCATGGTGGGGTGGAGGGGGAGTGTGGCGATGATGGCATGCGCGTTCCTTCTCAGGAACACATGGTCTGGTCCCTCCATGCCAAACAACTGCTCACAAAAAGGAGAAGGGGAGAGAAAGGAGAGTACGAAAGGATGGGCGTGGCGTCAGCAAGGGAATGAGGGGGGGGGCTACGAACCTCCGTGTTGGCACTGGTGCCAGCAGGGAGTGTCTCAGTCGCACACATCAAAGGTGGATGATGAAAACCGTGTAACTCGGTGGGATCAAGATGCGCGCTCACCAAGTTGACAAGAGTGCCCGCAACCACGTACCTCGGGCTTGGAGGCGATGAGTTGGTGCAGCGACCCGTACAGCGGCTCGTAGTGTGCCCAGGTTAACGGGGCAAGGCGGCGCGCGAGATGGTACAAGGCAAACGCAATCACATACCTGGTGAGTCCAGGTCCGTCAAACAACACCCCCAGCCACGTACCTCGGGTTTGGATGCGATCAGTTGGTGCAGCGACCCGTACAGCGGCTCATAGTGAGCCCAGGTCAACGGGGCAAGCAAGCGGGGCACGGGGTAACAGTGGAGGCATGTACCTCGGGTTTGGATGCGATGAGTTGGTGCAGCGACCCATACAGCGGCTCGTAGTGAGCCCAGGTCAACGGGGCAAGCAGGCGTGCGAGGCGGGGGGCGACAGTGGAGGAGATGAGAGCCTTGGCGCCCCTGTCAGCGGAGAGCGTTCGCACGATGCACGTCAGCAGCGCCCTCTCGTCTTTCAGCTGTGCCCCGGGAGGCAGCGGGGGCATAATGGGCAATGGGCGTGCGGTTGGTGGTGCTGCGAGTGGTGTGGGTGCTGCATCTGCTGCTGCTGGTGTCGCGTCGATGCTTGCTGGTGCAGCACCCTCTGTTTTCTCTCCCCCACTGCTCCCTGCACCCAGCACAGCGGACGCAGGCAGGGGTTCAATCCCAACTTTCCCTTCAATTCCCGTCGCTTGACCTTCCGCTTCTGATTCTGCTGCACTTGAGGCCTCCGCACTTGGGCGTTCAGGCACATATGCCACGCCCCCCAACCCCACGTCCACCCCTCGGGGCGGCGATCGCTGCGTGATGGGACTGGCAGCGAGCTTCCTAGGTGCAGCAGCAGCAGCAGTTTTAGTGGCCGGAGTATCGGCAGCAGGGGTATCAGAAGCAGCAGTATGAGTGGCAGAGGAGGAAGCAGCAGCACTGGTTGGGAGACTCTGGCCCGCATTGCTATTGCTGTTGCTCATGCTGGTGCTGGTGATGGCGCCCGCATTGCTGTTGCTAGTACTGGAGGAGTCAGGAGAGGCACTGGAGGCGCCGCCATTGGAAAAACTGTCTCCTGGAGTAGCATCAGCACTGCTGCTGCCCACGTGCCCATTAGCACGCTCGCCTACTGGGGCTCTATCACCTGTGCTGCTGCCACTGCTATCTCTCCCTTTCTCCCCTGTGCCCCCCGTGGTGTTGTTACTTGGCCCATTGCTGGACCCAGAACCAAAGGTAAGGCTGCTCGCATGCTGCTGCTGCTGCTGCTGGGATGTCGGGTTCAGGGGGAGAGGCTGGTTGCTCATAGGGTGGGTGATATGATGCATCACCACTGCTTGCTGCTGCTGCTGCTGCTGGCTTGGCTGTTGCCCCTGTGGTTTTGGTGCCTGCGCATGTGTTTGTCCATGCCCCTGCCCCTGCCCCTGATTCTGCAAGTGCTGCTGGTTCTGCCCTGGTAACCCTGCAACTGCAATCCCCGTCTGCACCCCTGCTGCCTGTGCTGCTGGCCCTTGCATACCGGTAGGTGGGTAGGTGCCAGGCGGGAGAGTGGAGGGGTGAGGATGCAGAGGGTGGAGGGCTGGCGGAGAGGCGGAGTGAGGAACAAGCATAGGCACGGGTTGCATGGGTGTGGGGCCGGGTTGTATGGGTGTGGGTACGGTTTGCATGGGTGCTGCGTAGAAGGGGTGGGGCATGTGTGGTCGAATGAGGTAGGCGTGTGGTGCCATGGGCGGGTGGGCTTGCCCTGCTTGTGCACCTGCTGCCTCGATCTGTGAGGGATACATGGGGGAAAGAGGGAGAGCGACAGAGATAGTGAAACACACAGAAGGGGGGACAGGAATGGTGGTAGAATAGGAAAGCAAGAAAGAGAGAGACACATGCATGAGGGAGGGGACAATGCAGCGGGATGGAGAAGTGGAGGGGAGAGGGAGAGAGGGGGAGAAACGAGGAGCAGAGACATAGGAGCAAAGCAACCCACCTTCCCGTCCTTGCTGCCCGCAGCACCACCACCCACGCCACCAGCAGCAGTGCCACCCATCGTTACACCAGCTCCTTGCACAACCCCTCCTGCTTCCCTCCCTGCACCCGTGGCCCCCCCGATGCCCCCTCCAGAAGGCCCCAGCGTGCCTCCTCCTGCTGCTGCTGCTGCTGCAGCCGCCTGCCCTCCTGCAGCTCCTGTACCGCCAGCACTCACTGCGCCTCCTGCTGCGCCAACACCTGCTGTTCCTGCTCCTGCTGCCGAGCCTGCCACTGCTGAACCAGCGGCGCCCGGGGCAGCAGCAGGGAGGGCGCCGAGCCTGGAGCGCAGGTCCGTGTTCTCCATGTGCAGGCGCTGCATCAGCTGCATGTGGTACCGCTCACTCTCCGCCAACTGGTGTTTCAGTGGGGGAAAGGGGTGGGATGGGGGTGCGAGCAGAGGGACATTCATGTGTGGCACATCTGGTTAGATGATTCTTCACATGGCTTACAATACTCCATGTGCAGGCGCTGCATCAGCTGCATGTGGTACCACTCACTCTCCGCCAACTGGTGTTTCAGTGGGGGAAAGGGGTGGGATGGGGGTGCGAGCAGAGGGACATTCATGTGTGGCACATCTGGTTAGATGATTCTTCACATGGCTTACAATACTCCATGTGCAGGCGCTGCATCAGCTGCATGTGGTACCGCTCACTCTCCGCCAACTGGTGTTTCAGTGGGGGAAAGGGGTGGGATGGGGGTGCGAGCAGAGGGACATTCATGTGTGGCACATCTGGTTAGATGATACTTCACATGGCTTACAATACTCCATGTGCAGGCGCTGCATCAGCTGCATGTGGTACCGCTCACTCTCCGCCAACTGGTGTTTCAGTGGGGGAAAGGGGTGGGATGGGGGTGCGAGCAGAGGGACATTCATGTGTGACACATCTGGTTAAATGATTCTTCACATGGCTTACAATACTCCATGTGCAGGCGCTGCATCAGCTGCATGTGGTACCGCTCACTCACTCTCCGCCAGCTGGTGGGGTGGGGAGACGGGTTGGAAACGGCAAGGGGAAGGTCGGGTGGGAGGGAGTTGGAAAAGCGGTTTGCATGCCACATGAGCATCACCGCGAGCACGCTGCATCAGCTGCATGTGTGAAATACCGCTCACTCTCTGCCAGTATTGAGGCGGCTCAGTAACACCCAACCCAATCAACCCAGTGTCCACCCACCCACCCACCTGTTGTCTGAGCTGGTGAGTAACAGCAAACAGGTGGTGTCACTGGTCGGTTCGTCCCCTGAGCTATTGAGCCACGTCTAGAACACTCAATCAACCAACCCACTCACCCACCCACCCACCTGCTGTCTGAGCTGGTGAGTAACAGCAAACAGGTGGTGGCACTGGTCGGTTCGTCCCCTGAGCTATTGAGCCACGTCTAGAACACTCAACCAACCAACCCACTCACCCACCCACCCACCTGCTGTCTGAGCTGGTGAGTAACAGCAAACAGGTGGTGGCACTGGTCGGTTCGTCCCCTGAGCTATTGAGCCACGTCTGGAACACTCAACCAACCAACCCACTCACCCACCCACCCACCTGCTGTCTGAGCTGGTGAGTAACAGCAAACAGGTGGTGGCACTGGTCGGTGCGTTCCCGGAGCTCCCCATGCAGGCTCTGATTGGCTGCTGTGATGGCTGCCACGTGGGCCTCCATGTCCTGCCCGTGCGCCGCCCACCCCTGCGCCTCCTTCACCGCGTCCTCCTTCTGCCACAGCTCCTCTTGTACCAGCCGCAGCTGAGATAGTGGGGACATGAGGGAGAGGGAACAGCAGTGAGCTCATGCTGTATAGGCCGCACACACACCCCTGCGCCTCCTTCACCGCGTCCTCCTTCTGCCACAGCTCCTCTTGTACCAGCCGGAGCTGTGAGGGGAAAAAGGAAGAGAGGGAGAGGGAACAGCAGCAGCGCGAACTGAACTGAGTGAGTAACTCAAGCCGTGTTGGCGGCACTCACCACCCCTGTGCCTCCTTCACCGCGTCCTCCTTCTGCCACAGCTCCTCTTGCACCAGCCGCAACTGATGGGGGAAGAGGAAACACCAACAGTGCAACGTGAGTAAGTAACTCCCTTCTTCAGTGCGCCGTTGCTCTGCTGTAAATCCCATCACCCCACTCACACCTTCTGCTATTCCTCCTCTTGCGCTTCACACGTCTCCATCTCCGTCTCTGCCCCATGGGAGCCCCTCCCCTCCCCCCCCCTGCCCCTCTTTCCCCCTCACCTGGTTCTGTGTGTCTCTCAGGCGCTGCTCCGCGTCCGCCACCTGGCTCTGCAGCCGCTCCATCTCTCTCTCCCTTCTTTGATGCAATTCAAATGGTACCCCATGCCCACTGGATAACCCCCCCCCACTGCCCCTCTTTCTCCCCCCCACCTGGTTCTGAGTGTCGCGCACGCGCTGCTCCGCGTCCGCCACCTGGCTATGCAGCCACTCCATCTGCGCCCTCTCAAGCCCACCCTATCCCACCCCTCGCCCTCTTTCCCCCCCCACCTGGTTCTGCGTGTCTCTAAGGCGCTGCTCCGCGTCCGCCACCTGGCCCTGCAGCCTCTCCATCTGCGCGCCCATCTCCGCCCTCTCATGCCCTCCCCCGTATCCCACTCCCTGGCCCCTCTTCCCCCCTTACCTGGTTCTGCGTGTCTCTCAGGCGCTGCTCCGCGTCCGCCACCTGGCTCTGTAGCCTCTCCATCTGCGCGCCCATCTCTGCCCTCTCCGCCTCCCTCTGGCTCGCCTGCGCCTTGCTCTCCGCCACTGCCCCGTCCCGCTCGCGCCTGCAGTAACGAGAGGTGGAGGTGGGGAGAAAAAAGGAAGAAGGAAACGATTCATTCACCCCAGCTGCCCCGCCCCGCTCCCGCCTGGCTCTGTGGCACACAAAGGCCATGTGGCGGATGTCAAGGGAGGGAGAGTGGAGGGGAAGGGAGAGGAAGGGGAGTGCAGTAGCGAAGGCACTGTGATTTCACAGGTGACGGCAAGCAGTCTGCTCATCAAGTGTTGTGAAAGCAGCCCACTCCGCCTCCCTCTCACTCCTCACTGTGAGTTCAGATCTTTTCCCGCTGCTCCGTCCCTCTCCCTCTCCCATTCCCCTCACTGCGAGGTGGCACAGAGTAAGGTCACACTGATCCCACTCTCACCTCAGCGCTGCCACTTCAGAGTTCTTCTCTCGGATAAGACCTTCCTTCTGCCACACCTGCCGCAACCCGCCAAACAGCAGAAAAGAGGAATAGTGCCATGGTTAAGAAAAGGTGCTCAACTCTTTCAGACGAGACTTGTGCAGAAACAGGTTATGGAACAAACCATCCATTACAAAGACCAACTTATAGAGGGATGGACTATGCAGCCCACATGTCTGACTGGACTATGCAGCCCACATGTCTGACTGGACTATGCAGCCCACATGTCTGACTGGACTATGCAGCCCACATGCAGGGATGGACTATGCAGCCCACATGTCTGACTGGACTATGCAGCCCACATGTCTGACTGGACTATGCAGCCCACATGTCTGACTGGACTATGCAGCCCACATGTCTGACTGGACTATGCAGCCCACATGTCTGACTGGACTATGCAGCCCACATGTCTGACTGGACTATGCAGCCCACATGTCTGACTGGACTATGCAGCCCACATGTCTGACTGGACTATGCAGCCCACATGTCTGACTGGACTATGCAGCCCACATGCAGGGATGGACTATGCAGCCCACATGTCTGACTGAACTGATTACAAGGGGCGTGGCAGCGCACGGTGCAACAGTGTATGTTTTTTTAGAATTCTCAAAAAGCATACACCTGCAACAGCACATGCACCTGCTCACCCTGTCAAACAACCAACCTGTCTACGCCTTTGTCTTCCAGGTGCCTAAAAAAACGCTTGCTCAACTCAACCCATTTGTGCCTAGTGATCCCTTGAAAACGTCTCGCAAGTGGCCTTCCTTCTCTGAGTGTGAAAAACGTCTATCAACTTGGCCGCTCTCACCCGTTCCTTCATCTCGTTCTGGTGAGCCGCCACCTGCTGCTCCGCCTCCTCCGCCCTCTCCTTCACGCGCTGCATCTCCTCCTCCTTGCCCCGCACTGCCTCCAGCGCGCCCGCCAGTTGACTCTGCGAAGGAGTGGAGTGATGGGGGAAGAGCAGGGGAGGGGAAGGTGATCAAGCCGCCTCATGCCTCCTCCGCCCTCTCCTTCACGCGCTGCATCTCCTCCTCCTTGCCCCGCACTGCCTCCAGCGCGCCCGCCAGTTGACTCTGCGAAGGAGCGGGGCGAGGGAGAAGGGCTGGTTTCACCACCACTGTTTTAACTATGAGCGGAATCTGCATGTGGGGGTTGCGGATTGTTTGCTGAACCTGGCATCAACGTATACGAGAAAGGTCCACCAGAGAAACGGGAGGAAGGAGAGTGGTGGCGGAAGGGGTGGCGCGGGGGAGGGGAGAAACACGAGGGGAAGAGGAGGGGAAAGGGAGGAAGAAGGAGAGTTGCACGGGCGCGACCAGCAAGGCCTCCCCGCCCACCTTCAGCGACTCTTCCGCCGCCAGAAGCTGCTGCCTCTCCGCGTCAAACTCCGCACGCGCCCTCCCCACCTCCACCCGCGCCACAAGCGCCGCTGCGCGCGCCACCTCCGCGCGGATCGCTGCCTCGCGCGCGGCTTCTGCTTCCGCCAGCAGCGCGCGCAGCTCCGCCTCCCCCAGCGCCAGCAGCGCGCGCCCCTCGTCTTCCACGTGGCGCACGTCCTTGTGATTGGCTCCTCTGGCTGGAGAGACTCCCGCGCTGGGCATGGCGATGCTGGCTATGTCTACCTGCCTGTCTGCCTCCCCTCCGTCTACCTGCACCTCTTTCTCCTCCTCTGACTGCTCCGCCTGCTCCTGCTGCTCCTGCTGCGACTGCTGCGACTGCTGCGACTGCTGCTCGTGCTCCTGCTCCTGCTCCTGCTGCTGTTCGAACTGTTGCTGCGGCTGCTGGGCGTTGAAATTGTCTTGCTCTTGACGATCCACTGCAGAAGAAACATCCTCGCCCTGTCCGTTGCTCGACGGATAAGGTTGCTGCTCGTTCTGCTGGTTTGCAACCTCCGCTTCTTGCTGCTGCAACTGCAGCTGCTGTTGCTGCTGCTGCTGCTGTTCCTGTAATTGCTGCTGCTGTTGCTGCTGCTCTGCCTGCTGCTGCGCCTGCAGCTGACCATTATAATCGTGTGGTTGCTCCTGCATCTGTTGCTGCTGCTGCCTTCTTGTTTGGTTGTCCTCCTGCTCACACGAATAGACAGCAAAGACACAAACCGTAAGGACGTAGGCATGTTTGGTATGCGTCATGCTCCTCCCATCCTGTTGCATGTATGTGCTCCGCAAGATCGTTACAAGGCAAGATTTACGAATACTACTGCTGGAAATTCATCACGTTATGAACACGATGGTCTAGCGGCGCCGGACGTGTCAGGATCGACGGAACTTCCGACTCGACTTGCGAACGCGCCTCGGAATTCGCACGCGCCACGACGGGCGGAACGCACCTCCTGCGACACACTCGACGACGTGCTGCTGCTGGTCGCGTGCGTGCTTGTGCGTGGAATCCTCAAAAGTGTCGCACGTTCTAAGTCTGACGGAACCCACCTCCTGCGACAGACTCGACGACGTGCTGCTGCCGCTCGCGTGCGACTGCCGCACGCCCGTCGCTTCGCCGTTCTCTAAACCCCCAGACGGCCCGGACCCTAATCCTGGGCCTGACGCAGAGCCATCCAGGTTTTGCGCCGCCTGCCCGTACGGTCGGCTGTTCCGGCCACGCCCTCTGTATTGCGGAAGCTGGTACACCTGCCGCGGAGGACCCCCTCCGCCGCTTCCCCCTCCGCCTCCGCCTCCCGCTCCCCCTCCCCCTCCGCTGGTGCTCCCTTTTCCTCCCCCGTCTCCGCGGCCGTAGGCACTGTTCACCCGTCCATATCCTCCTCCTCCCCCCCCGCCGCCGCCGCCGCCGGGTCGGTAGTATCCAGGCGGGATCTGCTCCTGAGAGGGACCTCCTAATCCGCGCATCGGCATCCCGGGTATTCCGGTGCCGCCGCCTGAACCCATGGGTCCTCCGGGATAATTCGGCATGCCGTCCGGAATTCCCTTAGGTTGCGAGTATACGTCAGAATTTGTGACTCTACCGAGGTGAATGTTCGGATCGCTGACAATTCGCCAGACTTCTCTTCGCCTCCCGCCGGGCATGTTACCCAGCGGGTTACCACCACCAGGACCACCGGCCGGGCCGCCACCTGGCGGCATGCCATAGGAATTCATTCGGGCCCGCGAAAATTCCACCTGACGGCGTATACGATGTATACGATGATCTCTCGCGTAAATTGGCTCTATCTCCTAGCGTAAAGTGGTTCTGTCTTTTCGTGTGAAGTGGTAATCTCTCTTCGTGTCAGACGATCTGCGAGGTGATCTGGAGTGACGCGAGCCTCGCGTCTGCTCTGATCCGAATCTCGTGAACTCGTACGATTGTTAGCGACACAAGTGGATAGCGACGAAACTAGATCACGCGCTTTGCAATTAAAAACGTCTAGACTAATTATAGTTCTTACGAACCATCGGGACGCCTAACATCTAGCCACTATTGGCTTGAGCAGCCGAGGCTTTGGTGTGACTAGCTAGACCTTCCGGCCTTGCCAGGAAGGCAAAAGATTCCTAGACTAGTTGTGCTTGGTCCTGACAAAAATCAGATCAGACTTGAGCTGAGACCAAAAACGCCACTGGGCCTGAAAGGGAACATTTGAGCCTGCGAAGTCGAGCGACATCGACGATCGTCAACTGGGTATCCATTTCGTTTGACCAAGCGAGGGCATTTCGATAACTTCGAGGGGACCTGATCGTTGGGCTCGGGGTGGGGGTTCTTCAGTCACGTCCCTCCCGCAAACCGCCAGCCACCAGCCATGTGCGCCACGTGCCAGTGCTTGTGCTTTTGTCGAAGGAGCCGTTATTAGATTTTCGAACTCAGCCAACTGATTACGTTTGTGCAGTTCCCAGCTTCAACGCATATTACCACTGTATATTGATCCAGTGTATTTATGCAACTCTTCTAGAACTGATATGTCAGGACTCGGGAGTTCCCAGTGCCACGCTCTGCACTGCTCGAGGCAAGCCGAACCGAGCTCAATTGCCGCCACTTTCATCCCACCTTGAAGTTCCCGAATTTCCTCGCCATTTCGAATCTCCACTAGCGTCTATATTTGATGTCCCCCTTCGCTGCGCTAGACCGTGCTACCATTGCTCGGCTACCATCGCAATACCGTCGCTCGGGCTATCGTCTCTCGGGCTGCCGTCGTCGCTCACCAGTTACCATGCCGGGAGCATCACTCGCCGCTAGCCTTAATCCGCACCAGAGGGGAACGTTCGTTCAGGAACGCGCGATGGCGCTTCGTTCTTTACGAAGCGCGTCGGGTCTTCGATGTGTTTTCGTCGGCGAGCCGATCGTACCTGACTGCCAGCATCGTAGTAATGCAAGCTTTCCTCGTATGACACTGCTGATAAGCATCAGCACACTCGCCTTACTACCTCGCGAGCCGTGCTCCGCTTATTCCCGAACGAACTTCCGCAGTTCTCATTCTGCATCACGGAGTGAATCGAATCCACTAACACTCGCTACTGCGTCATTTAGCAGAACGAAACTGGCAATCTTGGATCACCTCGTGACGAGATCAAGCATTCGTAGGCCAAGTCAGCGATGGGTCTGTCACTGATACTCCGCGTCTTTCCGTGGCTGACCGTGTTCCTTTCCGTGCTGCTGGCACGTCCGGCATGGAGCCTTCCGCCTCCTCTCCGAACCGCAATTCGAGGTCCGGGACAGGCTCGGTACGCAGCGTGCAACACAGGCAAGGGCCGCGCGGTGCTGTACAACTGCGGGCTGCAAGTGGGCAACGCGACGGCCGGGATAGCGTCGCTGCATGACGTGCCGTCGGCACAAAAGTGAGTTTGAGTCCATTCATAAGCGTCGACGCGCGTCCATTCATGCGTGCCGAGTCGCGTCCTTGCATGAGTGCGGAAGTGAATGCGTCGATACCATGAACGTGACAGTACGCTGCGAACAGGTCCTCTCTGGTGTCGTACCTTGGATGATGTGGTGAGTCGCGTAAAAATCGACGTGACACCACAGTGCTCACACCTCTCCTCTGCTGTCGTCCCTTGGATGAAAGTCAAATGTTCGCCTGCCACAGACACAACTCAAGAACAGACGACTCCTCTGACACCTGTCTGACACTACTGTCGCTGGCAGTTGTTACCATATCGCTAATCCCCTATTATGCACTGCCATCCAGTGCTCTGATCTCTTACAATAATTTCAAACTCCTTTATTCCGCGTCGTCTCATGTGCTGGCCACTGTCATCCTGTGCCCACTCCCGTGTCCTGTGTGCCATGCCATCACCTCTCCCCATACCCCCCCGCCTCCTCGCCAGCTACCTGGTGAAGCTTCGGCCGGACGTGCCAGCGAGCCGCGTGGACGAGATATGCGACCTGGCGGAGAGCAGCAACAGCACGCTCTATACAGGCACATGCCTCAAACGGTGCGTGCCAAGCACATGCTTTGAATGCTGCATGGCAGTTACCCTTTCTGCTCATGTTCGATGTCCTGCTCATCCGTTCATCTCAGGCCAGTCGCTGCTGCTCACCTGGATGTCGTGCCATGTCACAGCCTCCCATGCCATGCCCCCCCACTTCCGTCTCCCCTTCCACCAGTTTCAAGGCGCTGTTCAACGGAATGCTGATGAGCATATCAGGCCAGTCGCTGCTGGCTCTGTTGGACGCCGAGTCCGCCCTCGTGCAGTTCGTTGAGGTCGAGGGCCACGCCCTCATCGCCTCCACCCCTGCTCTCCCCGCTGCTGCTCGTGTTGCCGCCGCCACCGCTGCTGCTGCTGCTGCTGCCGCTGCAACCACTGCTGCTGCTGCTGCTGCTGCTGCTGATGGTGGTGATACTGGAGATGCGTCTGGTGGTGATTTTGATGCTTCATCTTCGAACATTTCCGCTGTTCTGGCGTCTGCATCTCTGGTCACGCGCATGCAGGTCCGCCTCTCTTATCTTCTACCACCGTCTCTCGTCCTCCTCCTTCCACTCTCCTGCTCGCTGCCTCCTTTCTTTCTCCCCATCTGTTCCTCCAGCCTCCAGTCTCTCTCAAAAGTCAATGCATTTCACAGCCTTTCTTTCCTTCCGTTCGCTAAAGAATCTTGTTGCAGCTCTTTTCTCTCATTCCATCGTCTCTCGCCCTCCTATTCCTTCCAATCTCCTTCCTCCTACCTCCTTTCTCCCCACCCGCTCATCTCTCCAGCGCAAGCCACTCTCATGGGGTCTGGACCGCATAGACCAGCGCCCAGGCATGCCTCCCCTGGATGGCGCCTACTCCTACCCTGCTTCTGCTGGCGCAGGCGTGCACGTCTATGTCGTGGACACGGTGGGTTGGCTTGGCAGGCAGGGCATGTCCTCGGTCTGTGTGGTGGTGGAGCATGTAGTACCTCAGGTGTCTTTTTTGAGTCGACTCAAAAGTCGGCTTGGCAGGCAGGGCCGGTCCTCGGTCCTTGTGCTGGAGCATGTAGTACCTCTGTGTGCCTTGACCAATAATGCACGTCTGTGTGCCTTGCCTTGACTCTTTAATAATGCATCCATCTCTTTTCTCTTGTCCACCCTCCCCCCTCCCTGGGTGGCGTGCGCTGCTCAAACAGCGACTTCCGTTTCTCAAAAGGTCGACTCACCTCCCCTTTCCCGTTTTCCACCTATCCCCCCTTTCTTCTTCACCTGGGGCCCCCCACTTCTTCCCCCGGTCCCCCTCCCCCTCTGCAGGGTGTGCGGTGCTCCCACAGCGACTTTTACTTCTCAGACGGCCGACTCAACCTTTCCTTCTCACCCACTTTTCCCCGTCTTCCTCGGCCTCTCTGTCCCCCCATCGCCCCTGCCGCTCCCCCTCTGCAGGGCGTGCGGTGCTCCCACAGCGACTTTTACTTCTCCGACGGCCGACTCAACCCCGCCACACGCCGCCCCGCCTCACGCTGCTTGCCGGGAGTGGACACGGTGGGGAATGGGCGCGGGCAGGGCATGGCGGACTGCAACGGCCACGGCACGCACTGCGCTGGTAGGCCGTGAGGGGACGTGCCGTGCAGTGCACTGGAAAGGACTGGGGGGTAGTGTGGTGAGGTGTGACCGTGCCTTGCTTGCCCCACACTCCCTGCTGCCTGCTGCCTGCTGCCTGCCGGGAGTGGACACGGTGGGGGATGGGCGTGGGCAGGGCATGGCGGACTGCAACGGCCACGGCACGCACTGCGCTGGTAGGCCGTGAGGGGACGTGCCGTGCAGTGCACTGGAAAGGACTGGGGGGTAGTGTGGTGAGGTGTGACCGTGCCTTGCTTGCCCCACACTCCCTGCTGCCTGCTGCCAGCTGCCTGCCGGGAGTGGACACGGTGGGGGATGGGCGTGGGCAGGGCATGGCGGACTGCAACGGCCACAGCACGCACTGCGCTGGTAGGCTGTGAAGGACAGTGCAGTGCAGTGCAGTGCAGTGCAGTGCAGTGCAGTGCAGTGCAGTGGGGAACACTCGGAAACACCAGGGAGCAGTGCAGTGCAGTGGGGAACACTCGGAAACACCAGGGAGCAGTGCAGTGCAGTGGGGAACACTTGGAAACACCAGGGAGCAGTGCAGTGCAGTGGGGAACACTCGGAAACACCAGGGAGCAGTGCAGTGCAGTGGGGAACACTCGGAAACACCAGGGAGCAGTGCAGTGCAGTGGGGAACACTCGGAAACACCAGGGAGCAGTGCAGTGCAGTGGGGAACACTTGGAAACACCAGGGAGCAGTGCAGTGCAGTGGGGAACACTCGGAAACACCAGGGAGCAGTGCAGTGCAGTGAGGGGGGAACACTGTGCCCTGTCACAGGCACTGTAGAAGGGCTGCAGAGTGGTAAAGAGTGCCTTCATCCACCCGGTGCGCACCATGGACTGTGCGGCAACATGTGGTTTAGGGACATCCCACTCCCTCCCTGCTACTCCTCTTCCTTTGCCCTCCTCCCTATTCCAGGCACTGTAGCAGGCTTAATAAGCGGCGTGGCAAAGAGCGCGTTCATCCACCCGGTGCGCACCATGGACTGTGCGGGCAACGGGGCGTTTGGGGACATCCTGGAGGGGCTGGACTGGATCGCCCGCCACTACCAGGCGCCCGCTGTGGTCTCCATGAGCATCACCATGGCCACCAGTGCTAGCCTTGACGCGGCACTGAAAGAGCTGGTGGAGAAGACTGGCATCACTGTGGTGAGTGGGGGAAGGGGGGCTCGCAGTGGTGAGTGCAGTGCCCGCTGTGGTGTCCATGAGCATCACCATGGCCACGAGTGCTAGCCTCGATGCTGCATTGAAAGAGCTGGTGGAGAAGACAGGCATCACTGTGGTGAGTGAGCGGTGTTGTGGGGGAAGTGGCAGCTGGTGACTGCAGCGCCCGCTGTGGTGTTCATGTCCATCACCATGGTCCATGACCACCTCTGCCAGCCTCGATGCTGCTCTCAAAGAGTTGGTGGAGAAGACAGGGATCACTGTGGTGAGTGAGGTTGAGGGCAGTACTTGCCGGTGATTGCCTGCCACTACGAGCGCCCGCAGTGGTGTCCATGTCCATCAGCATGGCCACGTTTGCCAGCCTCGATGCTGCGTCAAAATAGGTGGTGGATTGGACAGGGATCACTGTGGTGAGTGGAGGGGATTTCCATGTTCGTGGTGACACTGGTTAAGCAGGTGAGCGTGACTGCAGCGAGTGAAGCCCTGTGCTATCAAGTTCAGTACCTTCTTTCTCTTTCTTGCTCCTCCTCTCGGCCCCCCAGGTGGCAGCGGCAGGAAACTTCTTCTCGCTTGCGTGCAACTACTCACCAGCAGACAGTGATGACGTCATTGCAGTGGCATCCAGCACCAGCTCTGATACCATGAGCTGGTTCTCCAACTACGGCTCCTGCACCGACATCTTTGCTCCGGTGAGCCCTTTTCCCTCAACTGTATGATGCAGTGTCTACACCCTGGTCAGTCCCCCTCCCCCCTTGCTCTGATACCATGAGCTGGTTCTCCAACTACGGCTCCTGCACCGACATCTTTGCTCCGGTGAGCCCTGGCGACATATGATTCTTGCACCGACGTATGGCTGTTGAACCAATGTCTTTCCCCGGCCGGGTGGAAACGTGCTTCTTATTGTGTTCTGATGTCTTTTTAAGTGCATGTCTGTATGCATGTCTGTGTGTGTGTGTGTGTGTTTGTGCCTGCCCGTGCGTGTGTGCTTTCAGGGCGATGAGATTGTGAGTGCGGGGTCGGCATCAGACACTGCTATGGCAACCATGTCAGGGACTTCCATGGCATGCCCACACGTGGTACGCGCCTTTGCATGGCCTGGGATGGCATAGCCTTTCTGCATGTGGTATGTATTTGTGCCACCTTCTCGGGCTTCAGATTTATTATAATGGCATGGCATGGCATGGCATGGCACATCAATCCTTCGGCCCGTAAGCTTGCTTATCCCAGCACTGCATGTCTGTCTCTCTCCATCACCCCGCCACAATCCTCTTCCCTCCCGGTCCCCCGGTCCCTAACCTCTTCCTCTCCCCACTCCCCCAGTCAGGGGCAGCAGCCCTATACCTGTCCATGCAGCCAGCAGCGCGCCCCAGGGACGTGCGCAAGGCGCTGTACGACACGGCATTCCAGAAGGCGGTGCAGGCAGTGAAGCCCAGCACAGTGCCGCGCCTGCTGTCTGTCAACTTCCGCCCCCTGCTCGTGGACGTGGCTTTGCTGTAGTGCTCGTGGCGCCAACTTCTCTGCCCCATGTCCTTTCCCCCTTCTCCCTCCCAGTCAGGAGCAGCGGCGCTGTACCTGTCGATGCAGCCAGCAGCGCGCCCCAGGGATGTGCGCAAGGCGCTGTACGACACGGCATTCCAGAAGGCGGTGCAGGCAGTGAAGCCCAGCACAGTGCCGCGCCTGCTGTCTGTCAACTTCCGCCCCCTGCTCGTGGACGTGGCTTTGCTGTAGTGCTCATGGCGCCAACTTCTCTGCCCCATGTCCTTTCCCCCTTCTCCCTCCCAGTCAGGAGCAGCGGCGCTGTACCTGTCGATGCAGCCAGCAGCGCGCCCCAGGGACGTGCGCAAGGCGCTGTACGACACGGCATTCCAGAAGGCGGTGCAGGCAGTGAAGCCCAGCACGGTGCCGCGCCTGCTGTCTGTCAACTTCCGCCCCCTGCTCGTGGACGTGGCCCCCCGCTCCTTCCTCTCCATGCCTGAGGGGGCAAGTGCACGCATCAAAGTGCTGCTGCTCAAGGCGCCTGCTGCTGACGTGGTGTTTACTGCTACCGCTGTTGATCCCAGTGTTGGTGAGTTGGCGTGCACATGGCAAGCTGACACTCCTTGTAATGGACTCCTTCTCACAATCACAGCACATGGCGAGCTGCTTTTTTACGTCTGTGTGTGTGTGTGGTACATCTTTGGGCAATCACCCATTGATCAATGGGTGATTTGTGTGTGAGTGTGTGTGTTCATTCTCAACGTCTCTCACCCATTTCTCCCTTTCCTCCGTTCCCGCATCTGCTTCCCCCATCAGCGTCCTTCTCGCCCTCGTGCCTCACCTTCCCTGCACGCCGCACGCCAGCACCACAGTACATCACCATCCAGCTCTCCTACTCGCCCAGTAAGACCTACTCTTTGGTAGATTAACCGACTGACTAGAACCTGCGATCGCAGTGAGTTTCTTATCTTGAGATGCTGTACCTGGATCGAGCTAAGATGCTGTACCTAGATCGAGCTAAGATGCTGGCCTTCACCTTCTCCCTTCCTAGCCCTGCTCCTAACCTTGCTTAACTCCAAACCCTTCTTAACTCCTAAAACTGCGTAACTTTCCTCCCTCCCTTCAACTCTGCCTTGCAGAGTACCTGGACCGAGCCACGCTGCTGGCCTTCACCTTCTCCCTTCCCAACCCCCTACCTTCTGTCACCACTCCCAACCCCTACAGAGTACCTGGACCGAGCCACGCTGCTGGCCTTCACCTTCGCCAGCAAGGACTCCGCTTTTGGGGCATCCCTGGAGGGATATGCTGTGGCACTCGACAAAGGTGCGTGCTGCTGCTGGGGAGGGGAGCACGGGAGTGGTGGAAAGGAGGGTGGTGGGGGGATGTTTGGAATGAATTGCCTCAGAGCTCGCCTTTGGGGCGTCCCTGGAGGGATATGCTGTGGCGCTCGACAAAGGTGCGTGCTGCAGAGGGGAGCACGGTGGGGGTGAGAAGTGGGGTTGGTGGGGGGAGCGTTGAATGCCTTTGGAGCATCCCTGGAGGGGTACGCTGTGGCACATGACAAAGGTGCGTGCTGGAAGGGGAGCACGGAAGTTGTGGGGAGGGTTCTTGAGGCGCCTTGAAAGGGAGCGCGGCAAAGGTGTGCACTGGGGGCAGCGGAGTGGGTTGACTTTTGAGTCAACTTAGAAGTCACTTAGTTCTAAGTGACTTTGAGGACATTGCAATGCCCTCCATGTCTCCTCCCCGCAGATGTGTGCAAGGCGCCGTGTGGGCAGAGCATCGAGAAGCCCAAGGTGGTGCCATCGCTGCCCTTCTACTACGAGGATGACAGCACGCACTACCGTGACAGCTCACTCTCTCCCACACCCACCCTGCTTCCATATTCCTTCTTTTATACATCCTAAATCCCGTGTGCAGATGTGTGCAAGGCACCGTGTGGGCAGAGCGTGGAGCGGCCCAAGGTGGTGCCATCTCTACCTTTTTACTACGAGGATGACAGCACACACTACTGTGATGGCTCACACTCCCCCACTCCCACCCCACGACACCCTGATACCCGTGCAGATGTGTGCAAGGTGCCGTGTGGACAGAGTGTGGAGAAGCCCAAGGTGGTGCCATCGCTGCCCTTCTACTACGAGGATGACAGCACGCACTACCGTGACCTGTACAACGCTAAGCTCGACAAGTGCCATGACACGCTTGGGCCAGCACTGCCGTCTACTGCGAGGAAGGCTGCAGCAGCTGCAGCCTGCAGGGGAGTGCTCACTCACACTCCCCCACACCCACCCCTCCCACACCCTGAATCTTGTGCAGATGTGTGCAAGGCGCCGTGTGGGCAGAGCATCGAGAAGCCTAAAGTGGTGCCATCGCTGCCCTTCTACTACGAGGATGACAGCACGCACTACCGCGACCTGTACAACGCCAAGCTCGACAAGTGCCACGACACGGGGCCCGATGTTGTCTTCCAGTACACGCCGCCCCAGAACATGGTCAGTGGGGACCACCCCAGAACATGGTGAGTGAAGGGTGCGCTTGACTTGTGAGATGACTCAATAGCCGCGACCTGTACAATGCCAAGCTCGACAAGTGCCATGACACGGGGCCCGATGTGGTGTTCCAGTACACCCCGCCCCAGAACATGGTGAGTGGGGCGCGCACATGGGTGAGGTGATTCTTGAGTCGATTCAACAACCAGTACACCCTGCCCTACCTCATGGTGAGGGAGGCCTGCACTTCATTTGTGAGATGTCTCATGAGGCGCGATCTGTACAACGCCAAGCTCGACAAGTGCCATGACACGGGGCCCGATGTTGTGTTCCAGTACACGCCGCCCCAGAACATGGTGAGTGGGGTGTTGTTGCACTGCTTCCGGACATGCCTTATGCGCCTCCCTCTGCTATCCTACCTGTATGGAAAACACCAGGGGCTGCACGGTGGTATCAGTGGACCTGTGTCGCCTCACTCAGTTTGCTCTGACTCACTCAGTGTTAATTGCCTATGAGCGCACCAAGCCAGCGGCCAAACACACTCTCCTTCCTTGGCACGCGCTCTTCCTCGTCCTTCCCTTTCCCCGAACCCACTTCCCTCCTCCCGCACCAGGTGGTGTCAGTGGACCTCAACAGTCTCGCCGAGTTTGACTCTGTGCTCAGCGCCTATGAGCGCCCCAAGCCAGCAGCTAAACACATACTCTTCCTTGACACACACTCTCTTATCCCTTCCGTCTCCTCCTCCCGCACCAGGTGGTGTCAGTGGACCTCTGCAGTCTCACTGAGTTTGACTCAGTCCTGAGTGCCTACGAGCGCACCAAGCCAGCAGCTAAGCCGGTATCCATCGCATGCAATGACGACTCCTGTGGCACCAAGTCCAAGCTCTCAGGCCTCATCCTCGCTAAGGGCACCACCTACTTCTTTGTGAGTCCCTTCATCCTGAGAACCCTTTTTTTTCATCTCTCATTTTCTATTCGCCTTCTGTGACCATTCTTTGGAACACCACTCCACTGGGGGGTGGGGGGGCACAAAAAAAAAAAAAAAAAAAAAAAAAAAACTGTTCAACTGTTATTTGGGCAGCTCCTCTCTTCGTGTTCAGTCGCCCTCCCTGTTTTGTTCCCGGATCTCCCTTTGTGCATGTGCCCGTCTCTGCTATCACACCTGGCAGATGGTGGACGGGTGGGGCGGCACAGGGGGCAAGTTCGCAATCAACATGGCTGTCACCAAGGTGCTCAAAGCACTCGACGCCAAGGCACCCCGTAACAAGCCATTCCAGCCCATCCGCTCCAAGGCAGTGGGCGCAAGTGCGCTCGCCTCTCTGCGGTCCGTGCCTGTGCAGCCACCTCATCAGCCGCTCCACCCTCTCCTCCCGCTGCCCACCAACCCCACCTCCTCCCACCCTACTTCTTCCGAGTCTAGGGCTCCCACTTTCTCCTTCGCTTCGCCGCACCATCTCACACACCCGCCCCGATTCATCTACATGAATGGCAGCACCCCGCTGCCGCTTCTCCCCGCCAGTGGTGCTGGTATGGTGGTGCCAGAGGAGGGTGTTGGTGCAGCAGCTCACCATGTGCTGACAGGGCCCTGGGGAGAGTGCTCCGTGTCGTGTGGTGTGGGGCAGCAGCAGAGGTAGTGGGGGTGGGGTGCGGTTGGGTGGCATGGCATGACATGGCAGCATGGCATAGACCTGCATGGGGTGGCGTGCATGGGATTGGTTTTAACAGGGAGTTTCAATTCCTGCCAAACATTCTCCCGTGCATCATCCACCTGCCCTCACAGCTCTCTCCGCGCTGTCTCTCTCTTGACTTGCACACCCATCTCCCACCGCCCCCATCACCTCCCCCCCCCATCACCTCTCCCCATCACCTCTCCCCACACTCCTCTATCAGCACGCTTCACTCCCCCTCCACCATCCTCTTTTCCTCCCACTTCCCCTCTTCTAATCACCCTCCCTTCTCTCTTGCACCCCCCTGCCTTGCCCCCCAACCAGAATGGCGTGGTGCGTGGACGCCCAGGGAATGACGGCCCAATCACCTCTCGCCAGCTGTCCGCTGCTCCCGGCTGTGCCCACCACCCAGCCATGCCAGCTGGCACCCTGCACACGTGGTTACTGGGATGTCACGCAGTGGCAGGTGTGTCCGTTTCTATGTGTCACTTGTAAGAAATCTCAAGATTGGCAGGTGTGCCAAGAAGTCGTCCGCTTTTTATTCATACTCTATCCTTCTTGCTCTCATGCTCTCTGGTGAGGTGGAGTGAAACGTGGCTCCATGCTTTGGGGGAGTGAACGTGCGGTTGGTGGTGTGCCGAGATACACAGCGAGTGTTTTTTTAGAATTCTCAAAAAACACCCTTCTTACACCGCTAACCCTCTTCTTCCCTCTCGCCCAAATTCCCCTAACTCTTCTTCCCCCCACCAGGGCTGCAACGTGCCGTGTGGAGGGGGAGTGAACGTGCGGTCAGTGGTGTGTCGAGACGCCGTGCAGGGCAACATGCTGGATGGCTCCCGCTGCCCCTCCGCTCCCCCTCCCACCAACCAGTCCTGTAACACACAGGTGCGTTTCAAAACGTCTCAAAACATATTTTCTTTCACTTGACGCCCGCTGCTCCTCCGCTCCCCTCAAATTCTCTCTCCCTCTGCCATTCCTTTGTAGCTGGTCCCCCTCCCCTAATTCTGAACAGTTCTTGCCTCAATCTCGAATGGTCCTTGCATTAATCAGTGGGTGTTACAACGGTAGATGCAAACGCAAGCATAAACAAGCAAACAAAGCCGGTATCGTATGTCTTCCACCTACTCCCGCCCCCCTCAATCTCTCTCTCGCTCTCCGCCATGCTCTCTCTCTGCCTTACCTTTTCTCTCTCTGTTCTTCCCTGTGCCCCCCAGCCATGCTCCATCTAAACCTGGAGGCCTCACAGTTGATCTCCCTGCCAGTACACTCTTATTCTGAACCTACCTTTGGCCTCAATTCTCTCTCTCGCTCTCTGTTCTTCCCTGTGCCCCCCAGCCATGCTCCATCTACACCTGGAGGCCAAGCGGCTGGTCTCCCTGCCAGTACTCCCTGACCCTGTTGTCGGATGCACCTTCTGGGATGGCACACAACAGCAACGGAAGCAGCAGCAGCAGCGGCAGCAGCAGCAGCAGCAGCAGCAGCAGCAGCAGCAGCAAGAGCAGCAGCAAAAGCACTAGCAGCAGCAGCACCAGCCGCAGCAGCAATCGGGGTAGCAGCAGTGGTGGAATGGGGTGGAGTGTGGTGGAGGAGGAGGTGATGCGAGTGTACGGGTGGAGAAGAAGGGAGATTGAGGTTCGTTAAGCCGCCCTTTGCTGTGTACCAAGCCACTGCTCTCTGCTCATTGTGTCTTCATCACAGTACAGTGCATGCCAGATTTATCTTCACACTGACAGCCACGACCTGAAAAGCTGCTTGCAGAGTTTGTTACTCACTCTTCCCATTCTCTCCCAACCCCCCCCAACCTTTCTCTTTCCCCTTGCCTTTCGTCTCCTTCCCTTTCCCGTCCTTTTTTCCTCGCTCCCTTCTACCTTGCTCCCTCCTCCCTCGCGCCCTGCTCCCTCCCTCCCGTTGTTCTCCCTACCTCTCCGTGTCTATCTCTCAGTGTGTGAGCATACGAGGCCAATCAGTCCAAGACTCGTTCTGCTCCGCCTCAATCAATCCTGCAACCTTCTCTCCCTGCCTCCCACCTCCCCCAATCCCCTCCACCACCTCTGATGCTGCCTCCTCCCCCTCCGGTTCACCCTCTTCCTCCTCCAACACTCCCAATACTACCACTGGCATCGCCCCCAGTAATGCAACTGTTACCGCCACCATCAGACCAATTAACCGCAGAAGCAGCAGCCAGAGCAGCCGCAAGAGCCACAGCAGGCACAGTAGCCACAGTAGCCGGAACAGCCACAGTAGGCACAGTGGCCACAGAAGCCGAAACAGTCACAGCAGGAACAGCAGGAACAGCAGGGACAGCAGGGACAGAAAGCCTAGCAGACACAGCAGACACAACAGCCGCAGCAGCAGCAACAGCAGCACTTCATCTCTCCTCTGCTCCACCCTCTCATGCATACACGGCACTTGTGAGGTGAGAATGGCACTTGCAATCTGTTTCTGAGGCGTCTCAGAGACAGCCAGCAATTGCAACATGAGCCATGTCATTTCTTGAGAGATGACCTGCAATCGCAACATGAGCTCTTTGTTAAGGTGACCTGAGATTGGTTGCCTGTCCTCGCTGCACTGCTATCAGCCCTGTGGTTTGAGAATTCTCATAAGGCAGCTGCAACAAACTGACTAAATGGTTCTTGGGTGACCTGAGATAAGCTGCTTGCAATCACTGCACTGCTGGCAGCCCAGCAATTGAAACGCCTCAGGTCTCATAACTCTCCCATGCTCCCTTTCGCTCCCTCCAACCATCCTCCATGGATCCATGCAGGTGGGAGCATGTGTGTGCAGGGAGGGATGGGCGGGCGTTCAGTGCAGCGAGCCTCACCCCTGTGGAGGCAGGCCCGTGGGACTCATGCTCTCGCCCACGCCTGTCCACGCTCAAACTGCTGCTTCTGCTGCTGATGATGATGATGCTGATGCCGCCGCTGACGTTGCTGCTGTAGCAGCAACTGTTGACCTGCCAAGTGGGTTAGGATCAGGCAGCAGTGATAGCAACAGCACAAGCAACCCCATCAGCAGCAGCAGCAGCAGCAGCAGCAGCAGCAGCAGCGTGAATATGACTGTCTCAGTGCACGTGTCCTGTTGTCCAGCTTTCCTAGTGGATCGCTGGGGGTGGTGCTGCCTCTCTGCCTCTGCCCGCCTTGACCAGGTCTGCTCCTGCTCCTGCCTCTGCTCCTGCCCCTGTTCCTGCCTCTGCTCCTGCCTCTGCTCCTGCGCCTGTTCCTGCCCCAGTGGGATTGTGGCAGCACGTTGAGTTTTGAGACGTCTCAACGCTGCAGTAGCCCCTCAGAGTGTCCCGATTATCTTTTGGAGCTGTCCGGCACACTCTGCTCACATGCACATTTGAGTCGACTCAAGATTCACCTCTTTTGGAGCTGTCCGGCACACTCTGCTCACATGCACATTTGAGTCGACTCAAGAGTCACCTCTTTTGGAGCTGTCTGTCACACGCTGCTCACATGCACATTTGAGTCGACTCAAGAGTCACCTCTTTTGGAGCTGTCCGGCACACTCTGCTCACATGCACATTTGAGTCGACTCAAGAGTCACCTCTTTTGGAGCTGTCCGGCACACTCTGCTCACATGCACATTATCTCATGCTGCTTCCTTTCCTGTACTCTCCGCTTCGTGCCTGAGCGCCCCGCCTGCCTCAGTAATTCGTTGCTTTCGTCTGCCTGCCTGCCTGTCTGCCTGTGTTCCTGTGTGCCTGTGTGCGGTGCGAGTGGGTGCAGAACGGTGCATGCTGTGAGAGCGGCCGAGTGGACGCCTGTGGAGTCTGCAATGGCAATGGGAGGTACGGGTGGGTGAGAAACAATGGGAGGTACGGGTGAGAAACAATGGGAGGCACGGGTGAGAAACAATGGGAGGCACGGGTGAGAAACAATGGGAGGTACGGGTGAGAAACAATGGGAGGTACGGGTGAGAAACAATGGGAGGCACGGGTGAGAAACAATGGGAGGTACGGGTGAGAAACAATGGGAGGCACGGGTGAGAAACAATGGGAGGTACGGGTGAGAAACAATGGGAGGTACGGGTGAGAAACAATGGGAGAGAGGCGAGGTAACATACATACCCGCCTGTTGCTGTTGCTCGAGCAGATTCGGTGCTTGAGTCTCTGTTGAGGACATACACTCGCACACTTGAGTGTGGGGCGATAGGGCAAATCATGCATAAGGGGCGAGATGAGGATGTGCTGTACTGACTTTCTGACGGACTAGTCGCATGTGTCTCGTGCCCGTCTTTCCTCCCTCCCGTCTGTCCTTCCTTCTCCCGCTAGTTTAGTTTGGAAACGGGCGATTGCGGTGCATCGGGCCTGAGCCGAGGGCGAGGGGGGTTTGTGTTGCCCTGCTGCCAGTCTTCAACTCTGCGTCTCGTCTCATCCCCCACATTCCCCCTACTCATTCCCCCTGCTCCTTCCCCCTTCCGCTCCTGCTCCCGTCCCCCTGTCCACCTTCCTCTCACTCAGCGCCGTGGACATAAGGGGAGACTGCTGCACATCGGGTCTGAGGGACGACATGGGGGTGTGCTGCCCCTCTGCTGTCTCGAACCCTGCTCTCATCCTCGCCCTTGCCCCATTCCCATTCCCCTGTCCACTTCCCTCGCACCCAGCGCCGTGGACATAAGGGGAGACTGCTGCACGTCGGGTCTGAGGGACGACATGGGGGTGTGCTGCCCCTCTGCCCGCCTGGATGCGTGCGGGCGATGCGATGGGGACGGCACTTCCTGCGCGCTCCTCGCCACTGTTGCCATGCGGGTATGTGCTTGTTCAGGTTGTGACGGGCTTTGGGGTGACAGGACTTTTGAGCTGACTCAAAAGCTGGGGAATGTGCTGCCCCTCCACCCGCCTCCATGCGTGCGGGCGATGCGATGGGGACGGCACCTCCTGCGCGCTCCTCGCCACCGTTGCCATGC